GACACAGGCTGGGGAGGTGCCCCAGGGTGGCCCCGGGCGGGGGACAGGGCTTGGGGAGGTGACTCCAAGCCCCACGCAGCCCTGGAGCAGGTGGCATCCATGTCCCTCCCCTGTTCCAGGCGCTGCTGCTGCGGCCCGGTGACAAGCAGTGCCTCGTTGCTCGCTCAAAGTGTTACCTTAAACTCGGAGACACGGAAAATTCCCTGAAGGATGCGGAAGCCTCCCTGCAAAATGACAAAACGTTCTCCAAGGTAAAGAGCACAATGGGATGAGAGAGTCTGCGGGGGGTAGCGGGGGGCAAAGACAGGGCTTTGGTCTGTGTGAAACTCTGGGCTTTAGGGAGAAACTCACTTTTGGCTGGCTGGAAAGTAACTGAAATCTCCAGTGTCTTCTTTTTCAAATGTCATTTCAGGGACTTTATCAGAAAGCCGAGACCCTCTACACCATGGGTGACTTCGAATTTGCACTCGTGTTTTATCACCGAGGCTACAGACTACGTCCAGAACTGCAGAAGTTCAGGCTGGGTATCCAGAAGTGCCAGGAGGCCATTGTGAACTGCTTTGGAAGTAAGCGCTTCCCCTCACGGCGCTGGCAGGCAGAGCCGCACGCTGCCCACTTGCAGCTGCAGCCGTATTGGCTCCGCAAAGGATCCAAGGACACGGCCGCGGCGGAGCCTCCTGCCTCCCGGGTTCACGTACTCAGTAGCTCTCCTCAGCTGAAGACAGGAACCACCAAGCAGGGCACAGCCCTGTTCTTGGTTCAGCTTTTTTTTGGGCGGGCAGAGTGCATATTCATATAGGATATGAAATAATTTCAGTTATGACAGTAAATTTTAACCTGGCACAGTTTTAGCTACTGCATTTCTAAAGTCACCATGAAAATACTCTAGGCAATGCAGAAGAAAGCAGCACATCCACTTAATGCCCAACTGCTCATCTTTCTGCTCCTATCCTATCGGTTACAGAATCCATTTGGAGATCTTTATCCCCATATTAAAGCTCCGTCGTGAAGTTGGCCCTGCTACCTGGGTGATCGCTCCGAGATCCTGATCCTTCTCCAATTTACGTTGCATAAGAGCAGTGAAACTGTTGACGATGGCAGTGGAGCAACGGAGCGCTGCTTTCAACATCTCGGGCTTCGCTCGCAGCGCTCTGCCCCGCAGGAGGCAGGACAGGCCAGGGACCTGGGGATGTTCAAAGCACAGCCAACCCTTGGCCCTTTCCCTGCCGTTTTTCT